AAAAAAAAAAAAAAAAAGAGTCGGTCGGTCCCTTGGTGACTGTGAAAGGTGAGAGGTCATTGGTGAAAATGGCGATGGTGGGGACTGTACTTTTGAAGGGAGAAAAGAAGAAACCCCCGAAATCCAGAGGAGAGAGAAAGAAGAGAGAGAAAGCGTTTCTTTTCCATTTACATGTCGAAAAGCTCTGAGAGCTTTGGAGAGTTGCACATGGCGGAAGCAAGAAGGAAGATTCAGAGCGTTGGATAAACACAAATTTCTATTTTATTATTTATTAAATATTAAATTTATCAATTTTAGTCTTTCAATTTTCAACCATTTTTCTCTAATTTTTTTTTAAATTGTTTTAATTATAAATTTTTATATGAAAGGGTACAAATATTTTTATAATAGAAAATTAAATATTTTATTTTTAAATTATATTATTCTCGTTTAACAAATCTTTATAATATTCGGTATTTTCTTAAATTCTTGGATCAATTTATTCCCGACTAGAAGAAATTTTTGTAAAATTAAAGATGCCCACGAGACAGGAAAGAGCTGTATAGTCTTTCTCACCCCGTTCCTGCTTCTTATTTCAATTTTCATGTCTATAAATTCTTTTCATTTAGTGAATATTCCGATTTTTTTTCTTTTTATATATTATTCCATTAAAAATATTAATTAAAAAAAATTTAATGGATACTTTTTATTTTTTATATAATTTAAATAAAATTTGAAAATTGGTAGGTAAAAAAAAAGTTAGAAAGTAAATTTTATGAATGGAATAAATTAAAGAGCGTTTTATTTAATTAAAAAAATAAAGGAAAATAAATAAATAAATAAATAAAAGAAAAGAGAATTTAAGAATACAAAGGGTACTGTGGGGACCGCGCTCCTTGTCGGCTTCTGAGGACACTAGGGCCCACCATTTGAGGTGCATTTTATTTCTCGTGGAATTTTATTATTAATTTATGTTTTTTTTTTTTAATTATATTTTCCATGAAAATTGATTCTTTTTTATTTTTATTACTTTATTGGAATATTGGCCTTTTCCCCCAATTTAATTAATTATAAATTATAATGGGCTTGTTTCTTTTTCGAAAACCAATAATGTATATCATGTTACCTTGTATGATAATATTAATTTAATTTAATTTAAAACTAAATAAAATTAAATTAAAATTAAAACTTGCCATGTCAATCCATTTGTATTAGCTTAAGCTCGATGTCAATATGATCACGTGTATTATTAAAAATAAATAAATAAATAAACAAACCGGTTGATAACCATTTTATTTTCGTAATTATACATATTTTTATTGGTATGTTTCTTTAATTTTCTCTGTAAAAACTCAGATCCACTGCTAGAAGATTTTGTTCTTTTTTAATTTTTCCTTTCGAATTTTCCTTCAAGGCTTTAAAACGCTTTTGCTAAGGAAGGTTTCTACACCCTTATAAAACGTCTTTTGTTCTTCTCTTCAATCAATATGAGACATCACAATCCACTCCGCTTTAGGGCCAGAGGTCTCGCTGGCACGCGTTCATTTCTCCAATCGATGTGGGACTACCACCAAATCCACCCCCTTTGGGTCCAGCATCCTCGTTGACACGCGTTCCTTTCTCCAACCCCTTTTGGAGCCCAGCGTCCTTACTGACATACCACCTCGTGTCTACCTTCTTTGGGGAATAGCCAGAAGGCTGGCACATTGTCCGGTGTCTGACTCTAATACCATTTGTAATGACCCATATCTACCACTAGCAAATATTATCCTCTTTGGGTTTTCCGTTTCAGGCTTCCCCTCAAGGCTTTAAACATGTCTGCTAGAAAAAGATTTTCACACCCTTAGTGTTTCGTTCTTCTCCTCAACCAATGTGGGATTCTCACAATCCACCTCACTTTGAGGCCAGCATCCCCGCTGGCACTCGTTCCTTTCTCCAATCGATGTGTGATCCCCACCAAATCCACCTCTCTTCGGGGCCCAACGTCCTTACAGGCACATCGCCTTGTGTCTACCCCCTTCAGGGAACAACCTCCTCGCTGTCACACTGTTCGGTGTCTGGCTCTACACTAGTAGATATTGTTCTCTTTGGACTTTCCGCTTGAAGGAAAGGTTTCCACACCCTTATAAAGGGTGTTTCGCTTTTTCTTACAATGGTGTAGAAACCTTTCCCTAATAGACGCATTCTAAAATCGTGAGACTAACGATGATACATACAGGTCAAAGCGGACAATATCGACTAGCGGTGGACTTAAACTGTAATTATTTACAAAATTGATTTTTATTACGTAAAGTGATGTCACGTATACCTTACTAATCTAGAAGGCTTTGACTATTAGAAATAATATTCTTTTTATCTTTTGAATGAAAATTAAATGCCCATCCTAAATTAGTTAGGGAGCTACATAATTTGAATATTGTCATTTGCTTTTAAAGTTTATTATATTCCTACCCTTTTTTGACTTTTTTTTAAACCATAAATTAAATAAATGCCCTCGATCCGCTCTCGAACCCTATATTATTCGAATCAAATCTAAAGTCAGACCTTCTCGATCGATTAATTTGTTTTTTAAAAACATGTTTTTATTATTAAAATACTTCATCAACTAAATTGCACGTATGAATCTCGTTTATTAGGAGTAAGACAATCAATCTTTAATAGTGTACTTGTCTCGATGGCAAGGGAGCACAATGCTTGATGTAGCTTATAGAGCCACAGTGTAATAACTCAAGCCCACCGCTAGCAGATATTGTTCTCTTTGGGCTTTCCCTTTTGGGTTTCCCCTCAAGATCTTTAAAACACGTCTACTAGAGAGAGGTTTCCACACGCTTTATAAAGAATGTTTTGTTCTCCTTCCCAACCGATATGAGATCTCACAATCCAACCCTCTTTAGGGTCCAGTGTTCTCGCTAGCACTCGTTCCTTTCTCCCATTGATTTGGGATCTCACAATCCACCCCCCTTTGGGGTCCAGCGTCCTTGCTGACACGCGTTCCTTTCTTCAATCGATGTGTGATATTACACAAGAGGTCACTCTCTTTGTGGTTATATTATTGGATATGTGGTGAGGACTATTAAAGGGTTGTCATTAACCTTTAATAGTGAACCATATGCGCATACGAGGTCTATATTGGTATCAATGTATTCATTGTACTAGGATCGTGCCCTAGAAGCATATGTTATGCAATGTCTGTAGTAAGTAGGTAGAGGGTCTCTCCCATGTCTATATGACCAAACGAGCTCTATTAGAGAATAACCAACTAATTCTCCAGCAGTAGATTGTCTATTGAAACAAGAGCTATATATGTCCTTCAACTGATGGCACGGGAAAAATTCCTAACCCTTGAAATTACTTTCATTGAGACGTGCTTACGAAAAGCTAGACCTCATGACTCCACTGATCAGGGAGTGCTCAATGGAGCCTGCTTCTGAGGACCAATCATTCCAGATATTCACGAGAATCTAATGATTCAAATTAGCTAAGAGGAGTCATATGATATTGGGTTTAATAGCTTCGGGTCGAGACTTTAGGTTATTACGTGAAGGGGCTTGTAGACACGTGTTACTTATATATTGAGTGAATGAGTGTGGCTAGTGTCTATTTGTGAGCCCATGAGTTGAGCTACTTACTCGGTAATTTTCGACTCATTTGTGCTACCTTTTATCCTATGTAAGTAGTATTGAGTCGTCTGACGATGATGAAGGCGTAGTAGATCTTAGCGACTACAAAGCTAATTTGTTTAGAGTATTGTTTAGTCTCTACAGCTTCTACCGTAAATCTATTTTGATCGTGTATTTGTAAATTACTATATTTAAATCAGATTTATTTATTTTATGATTCTTTTTTATAATATATATAATAAGTTTTGTTATTTGTCATTTCTTTTAATTATTAAATTGGATAATATTAGCATAATAAAACAAAATAAAATAGCTTTATATGGCACGTGCTACATGTGATTCCTTTGTTTCACATTTTTTTCAACTTATTCAATTTTCAAGTCAACTTCAAGTTTTGTGATGAGGACAAAAACGTCTTTGTCTTTATATATATATATATATATTTTAAATTTTTAATATTTAAATTTTATAACATCTGGGGTCTCGGAATCTTTAAATTTGATATAAAATAATATTGATGAAAATGTTACGACAATGGAGAATTTTCTACTTTCAGAAGTCAAATAAGAATCCTTGACACTGCCCGAGCATTGTCTACATTCAGAAGAATATTGGAGTCGGGTGGAAATAATAATCCCAGTTGCACCTTCTAAAAAGCCACTGATCGAGACAGTCAACTTGATGAGCAGAAGCTCAAGGACATGAAAGTAAAAACATTATCTTTTTCGAGAATTGAATAGTTCCATTATTGAAATGATTGTCAAGAAAGACACATCCGGGACTCTATAAAGAAATACCAAAATTCTACTTAGGTTTAACATCATTTACCGGCATTGGGGAAAGAATTTGAGACGCTCCACGTGAAGGCAGGAGAGATGGTGAACGATTATTTTGCACGGAAGAGGAGCCGGGATTGAATATGACTTATGAAAAAACATTAATCAAGAAATAGGTCATGGCACCTATAGAAGATGGTATCGGAAATTTTTTGACGAAGGAAGGAAGCAACCACGCAAAGATCTCTAGAAGAAATGTTGATCATGGTAGAAGCTGCTAATGAAGCGGTCCATATTCTCAATAGAAGTCCAATGTTAACCGTGCAGAATAAGCCACAATAGGAAGCTTGGAGTGGAGAAGACTTATGTTGGATATTTCAAAGTTTCTGGACGTGTGGCTCATGTGCAGAGTCAATAACTCTCTAACTAAATTGGAAACAAAACGTTATGCTATATTTTAGGTGGACGTGTGGCTCGTGTAGCTCTCTTGGAGACTATCAGATTGGTCATTGTTGTAGATGCTCATCATCGATGGTCCGTTTACCTGTTAGATGTCAAATATGACTTCTAACATGGCAACCTAACTGAAGATGTTTTTGTCGAGCAATAACGAGGGTTCGAAAAAAAGGGAAAAAGGAAAAATCTACGAGGTAAATCATGCTACGTCGGGCTTGGTATGGTCGTTTTTCTAGAATAGTAGCTCATCTCACTCAATTCTCATTCTAAAACCACCAAAATCGACACATCGTGAACCACCAACGATCAAAATTCATAGGTTAATTTTTATTCAAAATCGATACTGATCGACCAACCAACACGTGCGCGGAAATAACCATTCAAAATTAGACATTTTTAACTACAATAATTTATATAAGTAATTTTTCTAAAATAAATAAGACAATTAAAATCGTAAATCGAAAAAAAAAAATACTCCGTACTAAAATAAATATTTACCGTATTTTAAATCGATGAAAATATTGGTGGGCTTCCCAGTGATGTTCAGCCCAGGAATATTAGTGGGCCTTTTTACAATTGGGCCGAAACCGTTGATGTTAATGCCACAAGATTTGTAATTATTTACAATCATGTCCCTAATAAAAATAAATATATAAATTACAAATTTAGTACTTTTAATTTAATTTTATATTCATAATTTTAAAATTTAATTAATTTATTAAATATAAATTTAAAATTTATTGTGAATTTTAAAAATATATATAGAAATTTGAAATTTAATCTAAAAATATTTAATAATTAATTCAAAAATCTATTTTGAAAATGTAAGGATTTATAATTATAAAATATTTATAGGTTGATTTTTTTTTTAATTTATTCGATAAATAAGGGTTTAGGGTTTACAAACAATTGTCTTTTTTTTAATTTCGAAAGATATTACTTTCACAGCTTATTTGAATTTATAATAAAATTTCATGGTATCGATTGAGTACTCTCGAATAATGTCGGTAGAAAATTTAATCAATATTTTATACCACGATATATATAAACTAATTGGCATCGATTGAAAAATCCCGAGCTGTGTCGTTCTTCGAAATATTGAAAATCTTTTACCTTCTATCAACTAGTCGATTTATATCGTTTGATTGAAACCGACATTTTTATTAACAAAACCCATTTGAAGCGGAGCCGATTCTTGTCCCGTCGCCTGCCCCGACATAGCGCTCCGAAAAATGGAAGAGGGGGAAGAAAACCAAGTGTAGAATTTGTGTAGTTCATGCATATATGGTCTCTCAACCTCCATTGCATGAAAATGCATGAGATTTTTGTTTCTCAAACACAAATTTAGCCTTTTTCTCTTCATTTTTAGGGCTTCCCTCACCCTCCTCCTTCGATTTTCAATTCAAGCATCAGAAGAAATGTTCGGGATGACAGCAGAGGTAGCGACCGTGACAACAGTAGTGGTAGTAGTCACGATGGCGGGGTGGTTGCTCGGTGGAGTTGATGGTAGACAACCAGTGTTGCATAGAGTTGGAGGAGGAAAATACACTTGGACAACTAATATTAACTTCACTGATTGGTCAATTCACGAGCACTTTTACGTTGGTGATTGGCTCTGTAAGTTCTTCATTTAAGAAAGTTGTTTTTCTCCGTTTCTAATATTTTCTTTAACAATTTTTAGATTTTGGGTTCGATAAACGTATCTACAACGTGCTACAAGTGAACAAAACAAGCTACGACAGTTGCAACGAGAATGATTTCGTTTTCAACGTGACAAGAGGCGGACGAGACGTGTTCAACCTAACACAAGCAAAGCCATACTACTTCCTAAGTGGAAGAGGGTTTTGCTTTCAAGGAATGAAGGTTGCTATCTTTGTTGAAGACTCTCCTCCCATTTCATCACCCAAAATTGCAAACCATTCTTCATCTATTCAACCATTAAAGCCTCTCTCATCCCTCTCCCTATTCATCACCATTGCCTTCACTAAATTCCTTCTAAATTAGAGTTAGTTCGTTTAGGGCTCGACCATAGCCTCGGGTTTGAATCTGGTCTTAGTTTTGTTAACGAGGTATAATAAAATAAATTTAAAGTAGGATTTCAGTTAATTACAGACGTCGATGATTAGGATTAGGGCTAAGGATAGGGTTAGAGTTAGTCGATTGAAAGATTAAATTTTTAACTCGTTAGAAATTTGTATTTTGGTTATTATTCGATATTGTGAAATAAAAAATACTTTTACGATATTTAATTTTATTCTAAATAAGTTTTTTATGGATTGAATAAATAATTAATTAAGCATTTTTACGTGGTATTAAATAATATATATATAAATAAATAATTTTCTAAATTGTTAGGTTAATTTCATTTTTTTATTATGTTATCCTATTATATAAATAAATAAATAAATAAATAAATAAGTAAGTAAGTAAAGACCATTAATAATAATTTCATTTTTTTATTATATTATTTTTAAGACTAAATTTTTTAACTTAGTCTTAAATAATAAATAAATAAATAAATAAAGACACATTAATAATAATCTCATTTTAAGTTCTAAATTGTTATGTTAATTTCATTTTTTTTTTGTTATCATGAAATTATAAATGATAATTCAATATTATATTTTACAAGTTTCTTAACCACAACTATATTAATTTTTTAAAAATAAATTTATAATTAAAATAGAAATGTTTTTAATAAAATAAGAGGATCTAAGTATATATTCCCAAAACAAATATAAAAAATGAAAATAATAAATTATTGTGCTTTGAATGGACCATTATCTCATTTACTTTTTGACCCAAACGAGAGAGGATAATTTAAATAATTACCAAATGACAGAAGGGCTTTTTAGTCTTTTAACCTTCCAAATTCCAAAAGCCATCATTATTGACTTTATATTTAAATTCTCCACTTTTTATTTTTATTCTTTAAAATAAAAGAAAATAAAATAATTGTGAGAGAATTCATAATGGGTGATAAAAGTATTAACCATTTTTGTAAATTTGTTACCTAAAAAATTAATTCACGATAATGGTAATTTTCATTTCATCGTATTTTTTATACTCTCACGTGTTTTTTTACTGAGCTCGAACTTCTCACTACAGTAGTCGGTAAAACCGCCATAGTTGCTGTCACCTTCAACGACACTGCTACTTGGATCTTCATTATGCTTGCATTTTTAGTTTCGGTGTGGGTTTTACTTTCAAAAACGGAATTTATTGATGGTGACCATTCGATCTAGAATGATTTAGTTATACGAAATTTTATATTGGTTTGAAGCGGGTGCTCACACAAAGCTTCAGAACAGTCTTTACGTGATTTCGGCCAGTGAATGAGATTTCTACTTATTGCAATCACCCTCGAGATTCTTCACACCTAATCCAACATAATCTCGAACGTTACTAGTAACAAATCCGATAGAATTTAATAATTTTAGGGGTTAAAATTGTCTTTTTGGTTTCTAATTTAATAATTTCATAAATTAAATAAATTGTAAATAGGGAAAAAAAAGAAAAAGAAAAAGAAAAAGAAAAAGAGAATCTCAAGAAAGTCGCTCCGAACGCCTGAAATCCCCACCTTCCCTCATTTCCGTTACGCCGTCTCTTTCTCTTCCTTCTCTCTTTCTCTCCCGTTTTTCGATCCGAAATTCTCTAAAATTACACTGTTTTCCATTCAGAATCTTCAATCAATTCGTAGAATTGCAGGGTTTTTCGCCGCCTGAACCAGTCTCAGGGTTAGCCATGGCGGCGACTCGGTTCTGGGTTTCGACTTTCTTCCTTCTCTTTACAGTAACCCTAACTTCTGTTCTTCACGTTGCTCTTGCTAACTCCGAAGGCGACGCTCTCTACACTCTCCGCCGGAGCTTGTCCGATCCTGATAACGTGCTTCAGAGTTGGGATCCTACTCTCGTCAATCCCTGTACTTGGTTCCACATTACTTGTAACCAGGACAACCGCGTTACCCGACTGTACGGTCTCTGTTTCTTTGTTTTTCTTTTTTTTCTTTTTTTACTATTTGATTGCTTTAAAAAAAAAAAAAAAAAGAGACTGTTTGTGTTTTGTTTATCTTCTTCATTTAGATTACCGGAATTTTTCGTTATTCTCTTCGTATATTGGTACTTTCTCTTTGTGTTATGCTATTGTGAGGTTTGTTTCGTTATTGCATTATCTTCTGTTTTGGGCAAGGATCCAGTTGATTGTTTCGCGAATTTGGTTGATCGTTGTGTTTTATTATCGTCATATGAGGATTTCGACTGGTTTCACTGTGAAGTTAAACCAATTTTAATGCTTAAAGATGAACGATAATCTTAAGAAGGAAGTGAAAATCCACCCATCTGCGTGTTGTTTGACGACGGATGCTTGGGTGTGAAGGATTGGTGCGCCATCCATTGTGGTGTTGGAGTCTTAATTATGATAGCTCTGTTTACCTGTGTAAAAGCTTGCATACTGTTGGCTTGATGTTATCGCTACCAGCTGATCAGACATTTGGTTTTGTTTTTCAGGGACTTGGGCAATTCCAATTTGTCTGGACATCTTGTTCCTGAACTTGGAAGGCTTGAGCACCTGCAATATTTGTATGTTGTTTGTCACAATATTTAATTCTTCGTTGTTTCACTAAGTGTAGATTTGCCCACGTTCTTTGAACGATCTGATTTGCCAATAATTGTGATGGGGTTATTTAAATTATTTCTAGAAATAAATTATTTTCTAGGATCATGTTTCTACTTGATGGTAAACATTTCTAAATTCCTGAAAAACTAGTAGGATATGTACTACTTTGACTTTTGACAACAAAGTGTTTGATGTGTGTGTGTCCAACGAGTATTGGAGTGTCCAAGTGGCGGTGGTTCTTAAATATGAAGTAATAGGTTGGTTTTGTCAACTAGTAGAAAAAACTCACGGTATAATTGTGAGATCCCACATCGGTTGGGGAGGGGAACAAAACATTCCCTAAAAGAGTGTGGAAACCTCTCCCTAGTAGACGTGTTTTAAAAAACCTCGAGGGAAAGCCCAAAAAGGACAATATCTGCTAGCGGTGGGCTTGGGCTGTTACAAATGGTATTAGAACCAGACGCTGGGTAGTGTGTCAACGAAGACGTTGGGATCCCAAGGGGGTTGGATTATGAGATCTCACATCGGTTGGGGAGGGGAATGAAACATTGCTTATAACGGTGTGGAAACCTCTCAGTAGACGCGTTTTAAAAAGCTTGAGGGGAAGCTTGAAAGGGAAAGCCTAAAGAGGACAATATCTGCTAGCGGTGGACTTGGGCTTAGGCTGTTATAATAATACTGCTGAGGGGACTTGGATATCTTTTCTATTCCAAACTACTTCCAAATTCTATTAACTCTTATACTTACCTACACGCCTATTTACAACTCTCCACTCTACCCGACACAATACGAAGTTCAGTTGAAGTGTCTTATGCTTACTTCTCTTTTAACCATTTTCCAAATTTGTGCTCCCCCCTAATGGCCTTTCTACCTGTTTCTTGTATCTCGTCATGTGATTCTACCTAAGGGAAAGCCTATCACAAATTGTCCTTTTAATTTGAATTTTGCTGCTCCTTACTTTCTCGATTAGTTCTAATGTAAAAAATGGTTGGTATGAAAATCTCGTGTGATATACTAAATATTTAATCTGGTTTTGTACTGATTGTTGATTTTTTACTCTGTTGCTACTAAATATGTAGGGAACTTTACAAAAACAACATCCATGGAACTATTCCAGATGAGCTTGGAAACTTGAAGAGCCTCATCAGTTTGGACCTGTATAACAACAACATCACTGGACGAATCCCTTTATCTCTGGGGAAATTGAAATCTCTTGTGTTCTTGTGAGTTTCGTTTACATTATTCATCCTTGTTCAGCTTGGTTATTTTTTATTTTGAAGTTTTATGTTCTTTCTAATTCCAACTTGTATGGACCGACAGTCTTTATAATTTTTTAGTATGATCATCATCTCGCAAGAAGTTATTGCTTGTGAATATTTCATTCTTAGAATTAACTCTACAATGTTTTGAAGAACAATTTTTCTCTATCCATGTTTTGAAGAACAGTTTCTTTCTGCTTCTGCTTGATAGTTGATGATAGGATTATGAAACCAATGGCTGTGATTTTTCTGTTACTGAATTGGAACTAAAATCTGAAAGAATGCTTTCTCTAGCTATCCTTCCTTTTCACATTTTTTGTCTGAACTTTTTCTTTTTTGTTTTGCAGACGGCTTAATGATAACCGATTAAATGGACCAATCCCAAGAGAACTGACTGCAATTACAAGCCTTAAAGTTGTGTAAGTCTCTGATAATTTCACTGTTGTGTAGTAGTCATTTAGGTGATATACATCCCTTGTTTAAATTTTGTGCAATGTCATGTGATCGGTTTATGATGCATTGTGTCTCCTTTGTTTCAGGGATGTCTCAAATAATGACTTGTGTGGAACAATACCAACCAGTGGACCATTTGAGCACATACCTTTAAACAAGTAGGCTTCTGAATTTATTTCCTTCCCTATTTTTATTCTCTTACTATTCTATATTTTGGAATGCATTAAAGTGTGAATGGCAGAGTAACACTCTTTTGCCAGCATCAACTCAAAGTGAAAAAAGATAAGAGAACGAATGATACTTTGTTTTTATCATAATATGTGGACTCAATCCCCCTAATATTGCTGCGCTTTAATCAAGATTAGTGTCTGAAACTGATGTTGCGAGTAACTTCTCATACGGTGTTCAGTAACTTATTGGTAGATCCTTCCTTAGCCAATTAAGGCAAGAAAATGGAAATGCCTTTACAGGCTCTTTTAATTAAGGAAATTGTTCCCTAGCAGAGGGTGATTCAAGAGGTCTTTCTCTCTTACAAGACAATCTGAGATGCCTGAACCCAAAAGTAGGAAAAAGCTTTCCCACCATCTTTCTGAGACTTCATTTTTAACGAATCGCCATTTCTCCGTGCTGCTACACTTTTGCCTAACCACACAACAGATAACTAGGAAAATGCTGTTATTACTCATCTA